GGGGGGGGGCGGGGGCGCTGAAACGCTCTCTCTCGCAGGTTTCAAGAGCGTTCCATCGACGTATACAACGACTGCTCGAGTCCTCGAGGACGCCGATCCCGCTTCGCTCGCCGTTTCGAACGTTGGACGCTATAAAGGATTCGCGCTTACGTTGCGTGTTCTTTTTCTCTCTCTCTCGCTGTGACGACGACTGCGCAAGCCTTCATCACGAACGCGCTGCGCTGCCCGCGACACCCGAAACACTACTTCTCCCATGCAATACATAAGTACTTATCATACAACCCGCCTTTCCCGCCTTTCTTCGTTCCTCTTGCACGCCCGCTCGTTCCCAAGGCCGCGCGTCCGTCTTTTACCCCTTCTTCCCATCATACGTTCAAAAAAAAAGGCATGTACGTAACGCCCAGATGCGGTACCGAGAATGTCTCCAAAACGATTGGAAATCCATTCTTCTTTTTTCTCCATCTGCCACGCGAATGGCTTGTGAATACTACTTACATATTAGGCCGGCGGGACGATCGGAACGGAAATCCTCATATGTAAGGGGGGGGGGTGGATACGTTATTATGGTATACATACGTTATGTTCGTTGCTCGTAATATCGGTCGTTCTCCCGAGATGGCAGCGTATTCGCGCGATCCCTGCTTAAGTAGATGACCGACCGACCGCTCAGCGCACATGAGCGCCCAGCGCTCAGGGATGGCGGACGACATCAGTCGGAGATCAGAAACCCACCTTTGCCATGGAACAGTCACGGAACTGCCTTGACCTGACCCCTCCGGCGCTTGCGCCATCGAGAGCCATGAACGTTCGGAACAGCTGCGCAGCAATCAGAGGGCAACGTTTTGGCGCCAGCGAAACGCATGAACGGCCGTGTGGTTATACTTTTACATGAGTTGCCCTACCTGATACAACAAGAAAGAATAGCATCGACACCGATTTTTCGAGTTTACATTACTACATGGCTTGGACCGCCATACCTTGCGATTGTCCTGCAACCTCATGGCAATGGCACCTTCGCCCATCATCTGGACTTTTTTTCTTCTTCGGCCGGCCAAGCAGACATGCGAATCTTGACGGGCCTTAGTACGCGCGCCCCACAGAATGAGCAATAGGCGGGTAGCGCAAGTCGTCGCCTCCGCCACGCCATGCACCCACCGCGCCGTGCGCGCCCTGAGCGCGGCGACCAGACCGCACGGAAACGGGCTCGGGACGAGACGGCGCATCGTTCATCGTCGCCGGGGTCAGAAGCCGCGCCTGCGGCCCCGCCGCCCCGCTGGCTTCTTTCTTCTCCCTCTTGGCTCGGGCACGGTCCTCCACCCGCACCGCGTCGACCCCGCGCGCTCCCTGCCGAACCGCGCTCTCGCCCTGACGATACGCGGCTTGGTCACGCCCGTATCCGGCTCGACCCCAGGACTGCGCCGCGTCGCGCGAGACGGGACCGGAGCCGGCGCGGTTCGCCTCGTTGAACCCGTCCCACTTCTCGAGCTCCCTGAACGTCGAGTTCTCCGAGTTGCGCCAGTCGAGCGCGGCGAACGGAGCGCGAGGAGCGCCAGCTGCGGACCGCACGTTCGGCGGTTGCGGCGGCGGTCCTCCGGGTCGCCGTTCTGGCGCGGGGATCTGGGCCATATGGACTTGGGGGAGAGGCTCGTCCCAAGTTGTGCGCATCGGCGTCTTCTCGGGGTCGCCGCGCTGTTGCTGCTTTGGAGCTTTGCGGTCCTTCGCGGTCGTGTACCAGCTTGTTCCCAATGCCTTGTCGCTGCCCTTTGCCTCGTGATCTTTCGCCTTGGAGTACCAGCTAGTGCCCGCATCCTTGGGAGCCTTCGGGTTGCGGCTCCTGCGTACCACGAGGAGGGAGATCACAGCTGCGGAGAAAGAACGCGTCCACAGGTAAGACAACCGACGCGCGATGGGGGAAATGTCGAGGGAGAAAAGACGGACCGCAGATGAATATCAGCAGCCCGGCCATCATGGCGAAAGGCGTTACAGCGCAAGCCTTGTGCAGGTCCACTTGCGCGTAGGCTTGGCACAGCGGACTCTCGTATATCTCAGGAGCTTTGAGGCTGAACTTGAGGCGGATCGTCAGAACGAGGAGGGAGACTGTCACGATGCGCAACAACCAGCACGTCAGCTTCACGCTACACGGGTGGGACATCGAACGGCCGATGACGACGTACAGAAACCGGAAAAGGCGACGTATGCGAGCACGCCGTAGTTCCACTTCGCGGCGCGGTCCTGGTCTTTGCGCCACGGATTTAGCGAACCGAGGCCACCGAACCCACCGCCGGAGCCGCCATCAACGAGATCCATAGCCCTGGGCAGGCACTCTCGTGAGCCGGTACACGAAAAGGGGCAGAGAATGAAGGTCTCACGCGGCGAAGATCATGAGCAAGAAAATGATCCCAGGCAGGCCTGAGATAGTCGCAAATACGATGACGGCAATCTCAGGCACTACACGTTTGTCGCTGACAGTCAGCGCTGCTTGACTTGCGCGAGGCCTTAGAGGGTGGTTGACTCACCGACTTCGCCTGCACTGTGTTGGATGGTGTGACCGAAGACCAACACGCCCAAGAATCCCGCTTGGAACAAGGCGAGAATCGTCGTACAGACTGGGATACTACGGATTAGTGCTGGTTTAGGGTCAGAGGCGTCGAACGTACAATATGAGCCTATCAGGATGGCCTTGAAAGCCTGTCTCGACTTGGTACCAGCCATGTCGCTGAGAGGAAGGACTGGGAGGAAGGACTGTGGTTGCCGCGGACGACGGGTGAGGGGGCAAATGCCAACCGAGGCAGAGGAGATTATATACTGCGTCTTTATGCATCTGTGGCCTCTGAGCCGCTGGCCAGCGAAAACTCAAAGGGCCACTCCCGAGAGTTTGTCAATGAAAGACAGGGTGCTAAATCGACGTGGCACGAAGACAATGCGATCGCATGGAGGCCGCCATAAAAGACAGGTTAGAAGAGCCGCACCGATCTTCGTCCGCACCATGGCAGACCGCGAATATGCTTTCAACAGAAGCAAGGATAAGGGTGAGGTATAGAATGCGTAGCTTCAAGTTGAGTATCGTCAGAGCGTAGAGCTGCTAGCGATCATGCGAGGGCATCGAAGGCGCACCGGTTTCTACGTACGCCCCGTAATGAGGTTTGAACGTCGGATCCATGTGTATCTGGTGCAAACGGAACGTTAGATAGTTCCGGTCAACGTCCTTGTAGAGCGTCGCATGGACTGAGATAGCTATCTGACAGATACGCCACGTTCAAGGTATGTCAACGGTGCGGGCGTTGGAGCTTTGGCGTCATGTTTCTGAACGCATTCCTCGTTGCTTCAGCTTACTTATTCCAAAATTCGACTAGAAATAGCATGTCCGCGACGATTGAACGCGGAAGAGTCAAGACAAGACTGAGCGGCGAGCGCGCACGAGAGCACGACGCGACCGCGACAAGCCACGACTCGATCGGACCCCACTTCACCTTGTCCCGGTCCGCCTCTTCTTTGCGCAGTCCACCGGGACGGCCGACCTCAGGCAACTTCCCGCCGGAAGTGGCTATCGACATATGCGCGACAGACAGGCTGTAGTACTCGATGAAGTTGTTCCGCTATACATGTGCAGATGACGTAGGCTGCTTCGCAATGGATAATCACCAGAGTTGAATGAGTGACGATGATTAGACTGCTACAATAACATTGGCCCGCAACGTTGCTCTAGAAATACGGCGGATGTGCATCACTTTCAAAACCTTTGATTAGTGCGAAACGCATCATGTTTCCTCGATGTGGCATGCGCGCTGGGCGGATACCGTAACTGGCTACCCTGCTCTCGATACGCGGTCCTCGCTGCTGTGTCCCGGGCCAAGCGAGATGGTGCATCAATCAGTGCAGATTCCGCAGACGCGGTGTCCTGTCTATAAGCGGAAGGTCGGATTGCCATAGTCGCTCCTTGACGCTTGGCGTTGCGCCTATCACTGTCCTCGGAACCACGATGCACAACGGCCCCAGTCGGTCTTCCTGCACTGCCTTGTGCGATGGCTCCCTTCATCGAAGCCTTCGGGCTCTTCGTATTGTTGCCGACATGGCGCGAGGCAGATCCATGCGACACCTCCGAGTTATGCGCGAGCGAGATCCCCATACTTTGGATAGCCTCCGGCTTAGGCTGATGAGTGGTCCGCGCCTGTGTGTACGTCGGTAAGTCGTCCTCCACCCAGGCATCGAGCTGCCCGGTCTCCTGAGCTTGTCGACGAGGGCGCGTCCCATCCTCGATCTCAGGCAACAGACCGTGCTCTGCATCGCGTTTCGCCGCCTCCTTTCTGCGGTATTCGCGCTCGTCGCGCACTTGATTCCGTATGTAGTAGGCGAGGAATGCGACACCGACTTCAACCCGAGAGGTCAGCGTAAATCGGGGATCAAATGCGAGCTGGCCACACACCGACAACAAATACGCCCATGGTCGATTGCACGACTCTGCGCGTAGTAGCGCATGTTGGATCGATATCGATGTAATCTTGACAAAGCGGGCTGTCGATATCGGCGCTGCGTAACTTGAAGTGTAAGCGTATCCCCAGGACGATGAAAGCCACTATTCCGATCCCGCGTGCTTAGTCCCACTCGGCGGGGGAAGGGGTGTAGAACAGCCGTACCGAAGTTGCAGATCGCATCAAATCCGAAATACCAGCCGTAGAAAAGATATCCCATTTCGGCACAAAGCTCGGAGTCTGATATTACCTCGCCAGTTATGGCGCCCTCACGGAGCACCACGTAGCTAGATATTTCGGAAGCTTTCAGTATTTTGAAGTACAACGTTTACAACAAGTCACTCACAACATAATTATAGCGAAACCCATGGGGAGAAGAGGGATGCATATCACAATCAGAGCCAAACATTCGAAAGCTACGAGAAAACCACAATTGACGGTTAGCACTCCGCCAAGGAATTGTAGTGAGATTATCTGTGGCTCACGGTACTGCCCCATAGGGCTTTCATCAGCATCTAAAACCAATCTGACCAGCCACCATGCTTGCACACCGAACATGCCGACCGCAGAGACTGTCATACACTACTTTAGCCGTCAACCGCTCGAGCGATAGGCCCACATACCCCACACCGCTAAAAGGTATAGTCTGAATGTCCATCTCCAACAACCACTGGCCATGATTGGTAGCACCGATGGGATTTGAAGAGGAAAGACTGTGTTGCGGTCCAGCGCAGGAGCGAGAGAAACGGTCTCTGGCAGACCGCCGACTATATACCCCCGAACAGCTGTGGCCTGAATCGTACGGAGGTAAGGCCACGCATCGAATATTTGCAGCCACTGGCTATCTGGATGTTTTGGCCATTACTTATGCCACATACTGAGAGATGTCATGGAGCAACCCAGATCGGTGGATCGCGCGGTTCTCGTCGGTGGCGTCGTGATTGGTGGCATCGTGCTTTTGAACAATACTCCTGATGGACTCGCTTTGGGGTAATAATACTTGTCCGTAGCACTTTGACCCACCTGCAGATCTGATGTCCAGTGGAACATGTTTCCTCTGTGGTTTTGGCGAGAGGCTCGAAAGGCATCAGAAGTCAATAAACGTGGTGGCACAATCATCAACGCTGGCCAATCAGTCGAGCGTCGGGTTAGTCGAGGGTGTCGTTGCAGGTGCGTTTTCATCATGCAAGGCTCGCAATGCGGTTCCCTATTGACCCTGACGCTCACTTGTATGTTCCGGACGAACAGCTTCATGGGCTGCGGCTTATCAGAGCACTGTACTGGATCCATAGATTGTCGAAGGTTCGGCTTTTGCGCGATGATCCAATCCACCGCAGCCTTGGGGGTGGCCCCTCGACCGGTCTCGTTGGGCTCTGCCATCGTAGGGGTGGCCCTCATGGCGGCTACTATCAAGGTTCGGGCGGGTTAGCTAGCGTACTTCCGGTGATGTCAATTGTACGAGGGAGAGTGCGCACTGCAGCCTTGCAATGACCTCGTGCGCAATTTCTTGGGAAAATCCGCCTTTCGTCGTAAATGTGTCGCTTCAGATTCCGGTCGGTTTGGAGGTGAGAACGACATCAGGAAACACACCCTCTGGGAATTAGTATCATAAAGGGGGGGGATGTCAAGTAATTACTGGACTATCCATGCAGATAAAGCCATTTTTGGGCCTTTTACAGTATATAGGAACATATAGGAGCTAATAGGAGCACATAAGTACAAAAATGAGGATATCTGGAAGGTCCCCCTGAGCATTTGTCACAAAATGTTCACAAATATGTGGAATTTTATGAACTTTTTGGGCATATTTTGGTGATTTGTAACATCAATCATCTCTTCAATATGATATATTTTGGTTCAGATAACACCAGAAACCTCCAGACTTTATGTCACATCTTGTTAGATGTCTTTAGAATTTGGTCATGTGTACCATCCATTCATCAGGTATATCTATATATATGTGTATGATTCAATCTTCTTCTTATTGTATCATATCTCATGGGGAGCCAGAATGGATGGCATTGATGTATTACATTACAACAAGCTCTATGGTTACATTCAATCGGCCGTGGTGTATATGTCGAGTCTGCTGCGATGAGCATATCGAGTCAACTGCGGCACACCCATCGAGCGTAGGGTGCCGGCATCGAGTGGGGCACAAGTAAAGCAGCTCAGGAGCAACGGGAGAGAGACCGAGCGTCACCCATCGCCAGGAGCTTCGGCACGGGAAACACGTGCCTTCGACCATGGGACATGTGCGGAGGCGAGGCAAGTTCGAGCATAGGCAGCTGGGTAGATCAAGCATGGCGGCGCCGGCGAGGCAGGAAGGAGCACGGCGGCGCCCCAGAATCCAGCACATAAGGCAAGGTGGTAAGCACGGGTGCGCCGGGTGGGAGATGGCGAATGCACCGTGCCTGGATCATGAAACGTGCAAGCTTGCGCAAGGATCTTCGAGTGTACGCGCCAGTACCGAAGTTGCACTGGCCATCGAGTGCGGTGTGTTGACGCAGCCAGAAATGGTAGCCCTGGTAAGCTGGTGGCAGGCGCATTGGCGCAGTCCGGAGCAAGCACGTTGGCGCAGCGAACATCGGGCGCATTGGCGCAGCGGAGCTGGCTGCGTTGACGCAGTTGAAGGCGGATGTGTTGGTCATCGAGTGCTGCGGATCCAAGGGGGGCGCGATGGCAAATCCAGGGGCAGGCGAGCAGGCGCAGGGAGGCGCGAGCGCATTGGCGCACTCCGGGACAAACACGCGGGCTCGGGCAGAAGCGAGCGCGTTGGCGCAGCAGATGTCAAACGCATTGGCACCCTGGAGGTGGGCGCTTTGGCACAGCGGATCCGCTGAGCGAAACCACGGAGGCCGCGCTCCGGGCTGGGCGAACAGGAGGCGAAGGAAGCTGCGCCGAGCGCGACCGCGTTGGCGGCTCGCGATCGGGACTGGGCGACAGGTGAGCGCGGGGGGAGGAAGCTGCGCCGAGCGCGACCGCATTGGCGGCTTGCGCTCGGGGCTGAGCAGGCGACAGGGGTGGGGGGAAGCTGCGCCGAGCAAGGCCGCGTTGGCAGCTTGCACACGGCATCGGGCGAAAGAGGGCGCGATGGAGGAGGCGACGCCGAGCGTGACCGCGTTGGCGGCTCGGCGTTCGGTG